GCAGCCCACGGCCTCTGGGACTGCTAGGCCTCTGATGTCAGAGGCTGCTGGATCAAGGCAGAGGCCGGACCCCAGGCAGAGGTGTGCTCTAAGTGCACACGTGTTTCTGAGGGAGATGTCACAGACACCATCACAAAATCAGTGCAAATAAAGACAAATGTCTCCAGGTGGGGCTCAGCTTCCCTTCTATACAACTCTGAGGGTGACCGCAGTGCCTAGCCGGTAGGCAGGGTGGCTGGCCCCAGCAGGCTCAGGGAGGACTCCGGGGCTGGCAGCACCCATGCCTGGAGAACCACATGCTTCTCAGCCCCCAACTCTCCCTATTCCTTCCGTGTGCCTAAAAGGTCCTGGTCTCCCTTGGCCAGGCCCAGCTGGGCCTTCCATGCCCCCAGTCTCACTTGGACACAGCCCACAGTGGACAGAGGGGTCGAGCTGTGAGGCAGGGGTGCAGGTCCACCTGCTGCCCAGCATAGGATGGTCATTCCTCTTGGGTAGATGCTACTTGAAGGGCCAGGTCTACCCAGTTCCTGGGCTCCAGTGGGTGAATATTCCAGAATGTTCTAGAACATGGGGGTGGGCAGAGCCAATCTCCTCCCCTTTTACACAGATGCTGACACCAGGGCAGATGAACAGGTATCCCTCTCGGCCCCTCTGGTTCCAGCTCACTGTCCCAGGTGGGCTGAGCTTCCACCCCGAGGACACGAAGGGAGGGACCTGGGAGCCCATGCATGGCTGCGTCCCCGCCTGAGTCGACGGAAAGCAGAGCCTGTGCCTGAGTGGCCCCTCTCAGGGACAGTGCCAAGGCTGGCCTCTCACTGTCTGCAGATGGGCAGGGCCCAGGGGGTTCTGGGCTGCGGAGGGGCAAAGCCCTGGAGCCCAGCTTTATGCAGGAAGCCAGGGCCACGGTCCCACCAGAACCCTGCGCCCAGGGTCCAGCCTGGGTCCTGAATCTCAGTCCTACACACAGCTGGGCGAGGAGGGCCAGTCCCTCAGCCTCCCTGGCCTCCGGTGGCAAATAATGACACTCTGTGTCATTGATGCTGAGTGGTCATGGGGTCATGGGCAGCCCCAGCAAGCCCAGGTGGTCTAGGCAGAGCCTGGTGGTCTGCAGCGTGGACTGCTGGGCCAGCCTCTGCTCTCGGTGCCAGGGGAAGGACAGCAGGCCCCGCTGGGGCGAGGCCTCTGGCTCCCCCCGCAGCCTCAGGTGGCCAACAGGCCAGGGAAGCCCCTGCCAGCCTCAAGAGGCCCTGAGCCAGCACTGCCTGGCCTGTGCCCGCTGGTGCCCCAGGTCCCCACGCACCTGAGGCTGCTCCTCGGGTGCCGTCCTGCTCCCTCTGGGCTGTGATGCATCCCCCAGGAGTGGAGTGTTGGGGGCAAGAGAGGGTGGGGTTGAGCCAGAAATGGCCCAGATGGACGAGTCCCCCTCGCCCTTTGCACAGCGGTCAGTGAGGCCCAGCCCTGGGCGCCTTCCACTCGTCCAGGGAGACCAGCCCACAGGAACCACACCCCAACGTGTAGTGCCGAGACGGGGCTCTGGTGGCCACGGAGCGCGTGAGGGGCACTTCTGAGGGCTCTGAGGGGTGGTAGGAGGTCCCAGGCAGGGGGAGTTTCTGTGGGAGGGTCGGGAAGGCCCGGAGGTGAGGAAATGCCGCCAGGCGCCGTCCGAGGGCGGCAGGGCTGGGCCGTCTTGTACCCGGCGTCTGAGGTGCCCTCAAAGTCCATCCCTTGCCTGGGGCCTGGCGGCCACTGAAGGCTCAGGAGGAGTGGCGGCCACACTGGGAGTGGGGCAGAGCTGTCTGTGGCAGTGTGGGGACAGGAGGGCTGGGGACAGACATGCACACACAGGAAGAAAGAGGAAGCCCTCTGCTCCAGGGCCCTGGACTGTGAGGAAGAACTTTCCAGAAACAGCAAGCCCACTTGGAGGCAGGTGGTACAAGATGGCAGGAAGGGTCCATCTTCCCCTGGCCCAGCCCCTCTTGGCCGGGACCCCCTGGAGGGGTGGCCTCCCTTGGCTTCCACTCACCTGGACGCGAGCCAGGATGGAGGGGCTCCAGTCGGTCCAGCAGCTCCTCTGTGAACTCCGTGACGGCCCTTGCTCTACAGCTGAGGACGCTGAGCCTGGGGTTTCTGGCCGGGAGCCCTCACAGGGCCAGGCTGCCCCACCTGGGTCCTGGGGCCAGTGGGTGACAGGCAGGGAAGGTGGCTCAGGTTGGACTGAGGGCAGCCAGGACAGCGCAGGAAGTGACACACATGTAGCTTGGTAGCCCCTGACCAAACTCAGCACTCCATGTACCCTAGACCCGGCACCACCGCTGGGCACCACCGAGGTGCACCTGAGACCCCACCCACATGGCCCGTCCCCATGTCGGGGACATCACAGCTTCGGCCTGGCTCATGCCTTCAGCTGCAGTTGGCGCTGGTACAGCCAGGTCCCCGCGCTCAGGGGCCGTCCGCGAGAAGCCTGTCTGGGTGCTGGGCCGCAGAGACTCCGTGGACGCACTGTGTTCTCAGGGGCCTCCCTGGGGAAGGGGCACGGGGTTCTGCAGATGCCACAGGGGCATGGCCCGGAAGGTGCCCAGGCCCCACCCTCCCTGCTGTGGACCTCCCCATGGCTCCTGAGGATGCCCATGTCACCCCAGCACGCGCTGAGCACCTTCTCCCTGGTCCTGGGTCTGCCCTGAGCTGGGGACAGGGGGCATCTGGTATCCAGCCTCACCTATACTGCCCAGCACCTGCTGTCCACCATGACTGGACACACCTCATCTGGGGCAGGGAGGTAGAGGCGGGAGGCTGTGTGTCCCCATCTGGCCTTCTCGGGGGTGACTTGGTCTCGTCGGGGATTTGTGGCGGGGAGGCTGCTCCGGGGGCCCCCTGCTTTGTGCAGTGGGCAGGACGCTCACCTAGAGCCAGGCTCCTCACCCGTCCCTCATCACCCAGCAGTCACGGGCAGCAGTGGGAGCAGGGCACACATCAGACCTGTGGCTGCCCCGCCCTCCGCTCTGGTAGCCCTGCAGCCCCCCAGCCCCTCCTCCGGGGCCTCCCATGGCCTCCAGGCACAGCTCTGGGCTCATGGCTGGGTGTCCCTCTCCTGTGGGTCACAGAGGGCAGGACCAGGGCGTCTCAGGCACCCGTGTGACCCCAGCGTGGCCCCAGAGGTAGTTGTGCGAGGGCAGGGAGAGGGAAGAGGGGGGAAGGGGTGCTGGCCACAGAGGCAGTGGTCTCTGGGGAGTGCCCCCTGCAGCCACTTCCTCCCTGGAGCCTTATCTCCTGGGCCGCCTGCTCGGAAAGCCGCAGCCAACGTCTGCTTCCCACAAGCACCAACTGCCCGGCAGGGGATGGGGATCAGGTGCCGGCAGCTCCACTGTGGGCAGTGTCTCCTCCCAGCCCCACCCCGTCCAGCCACCGGCGGGAAAGTCAGGCTGGACCAGCACAAGGCCAGCTCAGAGCCCCTGGAGAAGTGGACGCTCCCATCTGGGGCGCTGCAGGTGCGGGCAGGGAAGCCCCACCTGCCCCACAGCCCCGCCCAGGGTCCCCTGCGGCTGCCCGCCTGGGCAGGACTGTTCCGCCCGACCTCACTTCCCCCCAGACTGGCTCCCTTGCAGGCTGGAAAGTGACAGTAGACAGTGACAGGATGTGAGTACAGCCCGACCCTCAGTGGACAGGCCATCTGAGGGTCGTTGGCATGCACCCCTGCACCCCAGGACCTGGGGCCAGGAGGAGCATCCACACCGAGGGTCAGGAAGCTGACCCCGAATCCCACCCTGGTCAGACCACAGGAACACAGAGTGACAGTGGCAGGTGGCCCCAGCTCACTGGAATCCCCGCTTGCCACACTGGGGGCAGAGCCTGGGGCCGGCAGGGTCAGAGGGCCACGTCCAGGAGGGCTCCTCAGGGACAGGCTTCCTGGACTCAAAGTGGGGACACCCCCTCACCTGCAGGCCCCGGGCACCTGGGGAGACTGAGAGGTAGGGACGGAGCTGCCGTGCGCCCCCCGGGTCTGTGCCCCCCACTTGGCCTAAGACCGCTGAGCCTCCACCAGGGCCGTGGACCACAGGTGTCTGGGCACACTGGCCCCTCTGTGAGTGCCCGCTGCCCTCCCATCCTGACAGACGTGAACCCCCGACCACAGCTCTTCTCCAGCACCGTCACACGGGGGTGCCCCCTCGAGTCTGACTGGTCACTGGAGATCTGAGGTGGGTTCTGGAGCCTCCAGAAAGTGGGTAGCCTCCCAGTGAACTCCAGGCTGCTGGACAGGAGGCCCACCACCCACCTGTGGCTGGTCACCTCCAGTGGCCCATGGGGCGGGGGGCGGGATTCACCCCGAGGTTTTCATCAGCCATACCCCCACGCCCTGCGGGGGCCGTGCAGAGACGCCGCCTCGGCCGAGCGGTGGGAGGTTCCTGGAGGGCAGCCGGGGCCCAGAACCCGGAGAGCGGGGGAGCCCTCTGGAGCCAGAGCTGGACTGAGGCTGGTCAGAGGCCCACCAGGACTCACCCCTGGATCTGCCCCGAGGCACAGCCAACCCCAGAGACCCATTGGCTGGCTCCAGAGTAGGGGACAAGCAGAAAGGGGCCTGGGGGTCTGTTGGGAGCAGGTGGAGAGGCGGAGACCCCAGATCTCTCTGGCTGAGCCCGTGGAAGGACAGGCAGGCTGGCAGGTGGGGGCTCTGGGCCAGGATGGACACTGCCCCGGGTTGCTGACCTGCCCCAGGGCGAGGAAACACCACCTCCCACCAGGGGCCAGCCAACAGGGCTGTGCAGGGCAGCTGGGCAGCAGGAGGAAGTTGTTGGAAAGTCAAACCGGAATGACTGAGAGGGAGGGCGGGCGGCGGGGACCCAGATGGTTCCTGCTGGGGAGCCGGGGGTGCAGCTGCGCCCCTGGCCCCCACCGCACTATCACAGCCACACAGCTGGCTGCCTCGCCCCTGCAGCCTCTGGCGGACCTCCCCCACCGTCCCCAAGCCCGCCCTGTCACATGAGCCCCTGCGGCCTCCCGCCCCTTCCCCAGGGCCAGCCACCCAGGCTGCAGGCAGCAGTGCTAGAAGGGCCTGGAGCTTTCGGGGGACAGAGGCCAGGCTCCAGAGCACCCCACCGGATCCCACCCTTCCTCTCTCCCTCCAGACCCCAAGAGGTCTGGGAGCGGCACCTCTGAGAGAGGCCTGCCAGGACTGCGCTCAGGGGCGGCCAGTACAGCCTCCAACCCACCTCCAGTTCCATGTCCCGGGCAGCCTCCACGCTGGACGGTGGGCCCCTGGCATCGGTGCCCAAGGGGCCCAGGAAGGGCGGTCCAGGTAAGAGGCTGGGCCGGGGCGGGGGAAGGGCCGTAGCTGAGCAGGTGGCAGACTGCGCGACAACGTGGCCGTGTGGACCCGCCCCCATTATCAAGGTGGCCCCCCACGGAGCAGCACCCCGCAGCTGGGGCAGGTGGCCTGTGAGGCCCTGGCAGGTGCCAAGCCTCACCCTGGCCCCACCCAGGGGCAGATGCTCAGCCCGTCCAGGAGAGGGTGGGCTGCACCTTCCACGTGGGGGCTGTGGCTGGAAGTCGGGAGCGGGGCCGCCGAGCCCCCTCCTCCTGGGACGCCCACCGCCGCTGCCTCTACAGGTTGGGAGGGGAACCAGAGGAGAGGGCCGGCCCAGGTGTCAGGGAGCAGGCCATTCCTGACTGGGAGCAGAGGGCGGTGGAGCCTGGGCAGGGCTCAGCTTCCTGACACGCTCGGACCCCAGCCCACCAGTCCCTTGGCCCTGGGAGGGCCTCATCCCTGACACTGGGGCTCAGAGGTGCAGGCAGACAGCCCCATTCCCCGTCCAGCCACGTGGCTCCTCTCTGGGCAGCCTCTGGATCCTTCCGAAGCCCGCAGAACCAACGTTCCCGTGCCTCTGCAGACCCAGGCCTGGCTGGGCCTGACTCACCCAGCCTGGGGACCCAGGAGGGCCTCCTCTGCCCGTCCCAGAGAGGCTGGACCCCGCCTGCGGCTAGCCCAGGGCCCAGTGACTCGCAGGTAGCTTCCACACCGCTGGCTTCTCTCAGGGGGCGATTCAGAGACGCTGGCAACGGAGGCATGGGCAGCTGCCCCTCCTCTGGGGTGGCCCTGCAGGCCGGGATGTCCTGGGGGCCTGTGCCTGCTCTGTCCCTGCTGCTGCATACCCCTGGGTCAGCTGCTTCCTCAGCTGGCCTCAGTTTCCTCCTGTGTCAGACCCTGATGCTCCGGGATGGAGTGGGCCTGGCCTCTGAGAGGCTGGGAGGGGAGGGAAGAGAGGGTTCCGAGGTGCGTGGCCAGAGGTGTGTCTGACGGGGTGTTGACCCTGGAGGGGGTCAGGGCCCAGAGGCGGCCTTGACCCCACGGTGTGTGCTCGTGCCTGCAGTGTGGGCTGGAGGTGCCCCGAGCAGGTGGTCTGGGGTGCCTCTGGTAGGATACCCAGCCACTCAGAAGGTCACTTGGTGGGCCAGGGACTCCCCAAGGCCCCTCTGGGGCACCTGCGTTTCCAGGAAGCACCACCAGGGGCAGTGTCGAGCTGGGCCCTGCTGGAGGAGGCTGTAGAGGCTCTGGAGGATCCCGGCCCAGGAGGAGGGAGGCCTGGGCCCTGGGCCCCAGGAGGCCTGAATAGGGGTCACGTGTCCTACTGTTGGCTGAAGGATGAGTCTGCCCCGCTGCTGCTCACAATTAGTGGCAGGGAGAGTTGGCCACGGCCTGGTGGGCAAGGCCCTCACCCCCTCTGGCCATGTCAGGCCCCGAAGTCAGCAGGACACAGGGAGGTCCTGGCCCTCCACTCCTGACCATCTTCTGAACGGTGATCCTGAAGCAGCGGGCATGAGTCAGGGGTTGGAGGTGTGTCTACAGGCTGGGCTCTCCTCTGTGCCAGGGAGGTGGGCCCTGCTCCTGGCAGACACGGCAACCCCACCTGCAAGCCCTGTCCAGGGAGCCTAGGGAGAGAAGAGCCAGGTGCCCGCGTCCGCAGCAGGAGACGTGAGGATTAAGAAAAGGAGGCTGAGTCAGAGGACAAACTGCCTCCCCTGGAAGGGAGGCCGAGGTGCTGGGGAGGAACCAGGCCAGGCCGGCTGGCCATGGAGGACGGGGGTCCAGCTGGCAGGCTTCAGCCTAAGCCCACGGGGAGGCAGTGCGCTGGCCCCACCGGCGGAGCCCACACAGAGGCAGGGAGGACAGGGGCCAGGTGCTGAAAGGTGACAGGCAGCCGGACGCCTGCCACCTGGCCTGGGGGTGGTGGCACCCAGAGCTTGACATGGGCTGGCTCCAGGGACATTCCCACCCATGCAGCCACGGAGTCAGGCCACTCTCGGGCATGCCCTTCCCCGCTGGATGGACGCCTCGGGCTGCAGAAGCCAAGTGTGGTTCCTCTGCACTGGCCATTCCTCACCCAGGGACAGCCACCTCGGGAGAAAGACTCGGAAGGTGCATCTGCACAGAGCGCTTAGCTTTTCTCGTCTCGTTCCCCAACGGCACATGTGACAGCTGCACGCGGGGCACTCACACCACGTCGGTGTCATGGGTGACCTGCAGGTGATTGATTTATGGTGTCCGGGAGGATGTCTGTCGGTTTTGTACAAACAGTGTTGTTTATACAAGGGACTGAGCACCGCAGGTTCTGGTGTCCCCAGGGGATCCTGGAGCCCGTCCCTCACTATCCCAAGGCACAACTGTACAACAAGCTGGGGACGGAAATGGGAGAGGACCCTCTGGAGGCTGAAGTCCAGCTGTGGCAGGTTGTGCCCCTCCAGCTCGGCAAGACTCCTTCTCCCCCTACCAGTCCCTCTCTGTCCCTCTCCGTCCCTCTCCGTCCCTCTCCGTCCCTCTACCTCTCTCATGCTCCAGGCATCCCCAGCCCCCGCCCCACCTCCCTCTTGTTCACCTCATGACGTTAAGGTCTGCTCTGTCAGGGTCTGAGGCCCAGGGCCAGTGGGCAGTTTGGAAAAGCTCCAGCACTGTAACATCAGACTGACCATTGAGTGGGCTTAGGTAGGGGGCTGGCCCTAGGGTGCTGCTGGCTCAGGTGTCCCAGCAGGGATCTGGAGAGGGCAGGGAGGAGAGAGGACTGTCCCCCAGCCCTCCCGCCACCCACGTGGCCCACAGGGCAGCTTTCTGGTAAGGGAGGGGCTGGTCAGCTGTAAGCGAAAGACGCAGGATCCACTCGGAGGAGGGACGGTTTATTTTGGCTCATGGCCTTGGGCCGGCTCCACAGCTCTGGGCCCCAGGTGAGACAGAAGGTCGCAGCTGAAGGGTGTGGCCCCAGGAAACGGGGAGAGCACCACTCCCCAGGGACCAAGAGAGCCCAGGGACCCCCCAGCCACACCCCACCTGCCTGCTGTCACCACGCGACAGTCCATATGGCGGGCCAACCCACTGACCAGCCCCAGCTCTCAGCCTGATCCCGCCACCCCTGGGCATTCCCCCGCTGACCAGCGGCCCCACCCTGAGGAAGGCCAGTCCTCTGTGCCAGGGAGACTGGGCCCTGCCCCTTGAGGACACGGCAACCCCACCTGAAAACCCTGTCCAGGGGAGCGAGGGAGACAGGGTGCAGGACCGGCGGTGAGGCCAGCTTCGTGGGGAAGTGGTCCTGGGGGGGGTGCACACCCTTCACGCGGAGCCGGCTCTCACTTCCTCCCCAGGTCGAGGGGGAAGGCTCCCGCTGACGGGTCCCAGCCCGGCCCCTCTGACACGTCGGTCTTGTGATGTGCTGGGCGGGAGGCAGAGATGGGAGTAGCCAGGGTGAGGACCCCCATTCCCCTGCCCAGTTCTCCTTCCAGGGGACACATGCCAAGCCCGTCCACCCCTCTGGGCTCTGGTCATTGTGACAGTGATGGGTGGTCATGGAGTCAGAGGTCAGAGCCCAGCAGGGGTCTGTCTGCCTGGCCCAGGGTGTCTGCCAGAGGTGGAGGTGGCCCTCAGGAGGCTGCCCAGAAAGAGGTTGGAGGCCCTCGAGGGTCTTTGGGAGGAGCCATCTGGTGCGAACTCCGGTGACCACTCGGCACTGTCCTCGCAGCCGGTAGCTCCACCACACCCAGGGCCTTCGCGTGCGCTGGTCAGTCTCTGGAAGCTGCCCAGAGCTCCTCAGGAGGCCTGTCCCCCGTCAGTCTTTTCCTGCTGCCTTCGGCTCCTTCGGTGGTCATCCCACTGGGCAGACCCGCCGCCTCCCTGTTCCCCGTGTCCCCTGCCTGCCTGCTCACCGTGGCCGTAGCACCCAGCTCAGGGCTCAGAGAGGAAGGACCCCTGGTCTCCGGC